CCTGCTTGGAACTCTCACTCTCTCTCTCTCGCCCCCCCGCCCCCATTCATTCTCTCTCTCTCTCTCAAAATAAATAAACATTAAAGCAAAAGAACGAAAACTACCCTTGGGAAGGAACACGCGTTATAAGAAGAACACATCAAGAAAGAGCAAATACTACGAACTTACCTCGACAAGATGTCTCTGAGCTTTCCATTGAATCTAGCTTTAAAGCATCAAACACCTCAAAGTCAGATTTCTTGACATGGATCAAATTGTTAATCGTGCCAAGCTGACTGGTAACCACAGGCTGAAACAATGGATGGAAACAATTCATAAACCCGGTTTCAAATTCATCTCTTCCATCTAATTCTCCTATTTTAAAAATGATCATACTCAGCACTTCCATCTTTAATCGAGAGAGAAATCCTCCAGTGTAGGGCCCCATCAATCCTGACAGCAATGACATTTGACACCAAGGGGAATAATAGCCAAAAGGACACAGTTAAGTTAATGGTTACCCTTGGAAATCAAGGCCTTACCTCTGACGGATCATGAACCCATTGTCCATCCACAAAAAACTTGTACTGGTGCTCTCCCTCAGGGAGGTCTAAGATGGCAACAAAGTCATTATGGCTACAGAAGAAAACAGAAAGTTAAGCAGGCCAAGTTCCTATTAGAAGACAGAATGTTAATGTAAAAACCATGAGACTTTCACAACATCATACCAATGGTCTCCCACATTCCTAAGCAATTGTCCCCCGGAATAGAAAATAATTTATAGACCCATTCTCCTTTTCTGTATCACCTTGAAGACTTATTTACCAGTCCCTCCCAATAACTTTAGTTCTTAACTAATATCTGAAAAAGAATGATAGAGATGTTAATCCCCAAAATGGTTTGCCTTAGCACAACTGATATGCTTCAGTAGGAACAGACCCCTCACAAGTATAAAGAAGATAGCAGGTAGCCTCAGGATACAGAAGTGCCTCAGGTACCCTTTCCACATTTTGGTGAGCATTTTCTGAAAAATGATCTACATGTAAAGGGCCATTCTGATCACCAAATAATTCATTACTGCTCTGCAAGCAACAACTCACATTAATAACTAGATGTCATGTTGTATTTTGTTTTGATGCAGAAGTCAGAACAAGTGGACTCAGCCAGTTACAAATGACTTCCCACAAGCATAGATAGGATTTGTGTTAACAGTCCTAAAGAATGTACCCACAAAGCTGTTACACTAAGTTCCTCTGAGGCAGTGATATTCTAATGGGTAAAACATCTCTGACTCACTACAAGGCTTAAAAAAAAAAAAATGTCACAAATGTAGTCATTGGTCACAGAAAATGTTCTAGAGAGAGTCCCTAGCAGATGGAGAGGAGCAGTACAGCCAGGTCTCTCTCCTGAGAAAGGAAATCAGGTCTCTGGTTTCCTATGTAGACTCATGTAGACTCAACCAAGACACTCGTCTTCACCTCTTAATCAGTGGAATCTTGGTGCTCCAATTGTTGAAGGACCCAGAGATGAAGACCTCCTTGCCTCCTTCAGACCAGCGGATAACAGTGGGCCGGGCCTGCTGTGTATGCTTTACGGAGTCCTCCAAATCTTGTTGCCATGATACAAATTCTTTGTCCCCAGGGAGCTGTAAGAAGGATTAGGTCATCCCTAAATTGTGACCCAGGAATTCTTAAAAGGTCACTTTCTCCCCTAGCTTACAGAGGGGCGCTAGGTTTCTACTAAGGATCAGTAAGCCTTGAAATTGGCAACTAAATCACATTTTGAATAAACTATAGACAACTCATCGAGGACCAAAATAGTCAAATGGCTTATGCTCAAGGGTTGCCCAAATCACAGCCTAACTTTATAGGCTGCATACATCACCCACCCTTTCAGAGCCTTTGGATCTCCCTTTAAAAAAAAAAAAGAAAGGGGGATTGGGGCACCTGGGTGGCTCAGTCAGTTAAGCATCCGGCTCCAGCTCAGCTCATGATCTCATGATTCGTGAGTTCGAGCCCCACATCTGGCTCTGTGCTGACAGCTCAGAGCCTGGAGCCTACTTCCAATTCTGTGTCTCCCTCTCTCAAAAATAAATAAACATTAAAAAAATTAAAAAAAAAAAGATGGGGGGGAAGCTTACTGGCTGTTACCAGATTAACTCACAGGCAGGCAATTATGACATGCTTCTGAGTGCCTCTTAAGAGAAAAAATATGAAAAAAAAGTATGCTTCTATAAAAAGCAATAAAGTTAGCCATGTATTTTTCACATGTAAATAGGAACAGTTTTCAATGATCAGTTGTAATGGAAGTTAGAAATACTGAAATTCATAAATAATTCACAAACTTCATTTTAGCAAACAGGTTACAAAAAGGACACTAAAAATATAAAAAATCATCATCATTGGTTTCTTAAATTTTGGGAAGTGTTATGAAATCTTAACTTGCTCACTTCTGCCAAATTTATACTAATTATTTCAGAAGTAGGGATGAAAATTCTGGACTCTCAAGGAGTAACCCAACTGGTTAAAGTAACCCAGCTTCCTTTAACAAAAGTGGTTCTAATATCAAATGAGGTCTGTAGGATTCTAAAAACAAATGTCTCCTTACTTAGTTTCTTTTCATTACCATCCTTTAGAACAAGAGTTGGCAGATTATGGCCAGTGAGCCAGATGCTTTTATAAATAAGCTTTTATTGGAAAATAGCCACACACATTCATTTATATATTATCTACAGCTGCTTTCACGCTGTAGTAGCAGTATTGAATGTTGTGACAAAACCTATATGGCCACAAAGTCTAAAATATTTACTGTCTGGTCCCTTGCAGAAAAAGTTTGCTGATCCCCACTTTAGACCGGCTTAAATGACTTTGTTAAATAGGTAAACAGGACTGTACTGTATCAAGTCAAAACATTTAGCAAATAAAATAATGTGGGTTAAAAAAAAGGGTTAACTTATTCATTTGGGCTTTACTTTCAAAATGGCTAAGGTAGTCTACCTTTGCATATTGTCTCTCAATACTCCTCAAAACTACACTATGAGACACCAGTAGCAGCATAAACTGAAGTAAATTGAGAAACAGAATTGAAGGGACTTTCATATTACATAAGTGACTTAAGTGAAAACCTTGATCTCCATATTCTGAAAGCAATGCACTCTTGCCTAATTGGCTGCATTAAAATCACAGAAGTTTTTACACATGCCTAAGAGTAACTCTCAGATTCTGATTTAGATACAGGGCCTAGGAATCTATTTTTAAAAAGGCTCACAGAGAATAATAACAATACTGTGATTAAGTTAAAATAAAGAATAAAACCTCATCTTTAGAGATACATCCTAAAATATTTACAGACAAAATAATATTTGCTAGGATGTCTGGAATTTGCTTCAAATAAATTGGGGGGGGAGAGTGGATTGGGGTATAGATGATATAAATTTGTTCACAATTTGATCATGATTTAAACTGGGTGATGGGTATACAGGAGTTCATTACACTGTTCTCCCTACTTTGAAATGTGGAAAATGTTTCCAATTTTCCATATAGTGTTTAAACAAATCTCAAGTGATTCTAATGCGCAAATAGGATTGAGAACTACTGAACTGGTCCACTGAGAAGACTGGCATTTGAAGGAATGCAGGCCCCACTGCCACTGTTCCTATGAGTTACCTTCATGATTTAGTATTATCAGTTTAGAGTTTGAAAGCTACAAACTATTAATATGCCTAGCTTTGGAAGAAAGCCCTCCCACATATGACATGACATTTCTGAGGCAGGCCTAGTGCAGCTGACTAGCAGAAAGACCATTTACTCCAAGTTAAATAGTCAGCAAGATCATCAGGAAAAGAGGCAAAACAATGAGAATTATAGTTTGAAAATGTTTAAGTGAAACACTGAAGGAAGAATTAAAGAGACTAGCTTGAGAACTATACAATTTTAGATGTAGAAGAGACCCGAGGAATTATCTGAACCGATTTTCTTATTCACAAATGGCAAGACTGAGGTAAAGGGAAAGAATGACCCCAAAAAGGTTCCATTTCAGATGGAAGAACCTGGCTTTTAATCAGGACACCGGTTACTGCAGTCACAGTTTGACAAACACACTCACTGTACTTAAATCCTGAGTCATCGATGTAGGAAAAGGGTAAAATTACGAGATGGACCACCTTGAAAAAGCTTTGAAGAAGTAAATTCAAGTGACTGGGTAGACAGCTCATATGTTGAGGAAGTCCTGGAGTGGGAAAAGGAAGAAAGGAATGGAGAAGAAACACCAAGAAGTGGTCCTTTTAATCAACTTGACTTCTTTTTCTGTGGTTATGTTCTCAATTGGGATTCAAGAAAATAAACTGAATCCAAATTTCACGTGCCACCGACTGGGCAAATCATTCTTTACTCTGTAAAACTCCAGTTTGGTGAAAGGTTTGTAGTGATAAAGACAAAAAAAAAAAAAAAAAAAAAAAAAAAATCAAACACACCCCAATCTCCTCAATCCCTCCATTTTTCTACTTCACCCCACTCAGACTGTCTGGAGGAATTATTGTTTATCATGCTGACAGCTCTCAATGTGACTAGGAACATTCGGTTGGTAATCACATTGCTGTCAGCTCCATCTATCTCTACCGGTGAACACAAGTTGCCACTTTTCTCAAAGTCCTTGGATTTGAGTTCAAGGTCCCGGGGACAGCTGTGGGCTGTCTGTTTTCAGCGATGGTATCGTTATGAACTACTAACAGGAAGTGGAGAAATCCTGGAATCATCTGCTCTCCCACTTGAGGAGCAGCTGGGTGTGAAAGAAACACCACCTGAACTACCACAACTATAAAGTATGAGATGAACACTGAGCAGTCAACCAAAGAAGGTCCTTTATTGATCCCCAAGATTAGGAGATTGTATCAAATAAGCAAGTGGTTGCATGGCTCACAGCCATGCAAAGGGCAAGAGGATCAGAAATGCTGAGTTCTTAAAGCCAATACTACACTGTATGTTAACTAACTTGAATTTAAATAAATAAAAAAAAGAAGTGCTGAGTTCTTAGAAGGGCAAAATGATACTGATACATATAAGTTGTCAGGAAAAATAAAATCACTTACCCACCTCCGGGCAAATTTGAGAAACTGCTGCCTATGGTCAGCAACTCAGGCAACTTACAACCTATAAGTTCATCAATACTCTAGAAGAGGGCACCTGCCTGTTAGGAAAACCAGATATTGGGGGTGGGGGTGTCTACAGTCCCCATCGTAATCATGGCCAACAGATTAGTCGAAAAACAAAAACTCCGCCTCTATTCTATTTTGAGGCAGCACCGCAGGAGTAGTTACCATCCAACATCTCCGTGCCCGAAAAATCCCTTTAATTCAGAAAACCGTAAGCTAGGTCAGCGTGCTAAGAAAGAACCGAGAGGAGGAGCGCTGACACCCAGCCCGCTGCGGCAGCGTCCGCTGGGGGCGTGGGGAACGCTCACCTTGGAGTCCGGCAGGCTGAAGACGCTGGGATCGTCGGTACTCCCCACCATGATTTTGTGCTCCTTACCCGGCGCATGGCCGCCGGCGCCCTCGGAGCGTGCAGCCTTGGCGCCGTGGCGCTCCCCAGCCACCCGGTCGCTGGTGGTGTTTCCCATGGCTGCAGCTCGAGTCCGGGGCCACCTGCCGTGGGGAACAACACCGGACTAGGAACACCCCGGCGGCCGCGTCAGGGACGCCCCTGGCTCCGCCCCTGCGCCTGGGGACTCGGGCAAGGGAATCCCCGCCCCAGGGAAGCCGAGCCCGGGGACCCCTCCTTCCCCAGCCTCCAGGGGCGCCCGGAACCCCCCCACTCCAAACCCTCTGGATGCCTGCTGCTCAGGAAACACACTTTGGGGAACTCCCCGCATCCCCGCGCTCACTGCCCAGGCGCGCCCCCACCCCAATCACCTCCCGCGATGCTCTCCCTCCTGCCCTAGCCACCAGTGCGATGGTTGTTCTGCGGATAAGGCCACCAATAAAGTTATTGAAATTGAAGCCGCGCCCCGGGCTAGCGAACCTGATTTCCTCCTAAAATGGCTACAAGGCCAGTGGCGCGAGGCCCGCCCCGCGCGTTCCCTGCGGCCGCGCGGCGACGGCACCGGGAGCTCGCCGGCCTCTCTAGCCGCCAGCGCCTCGGTGGTGGGCAGCCTCCTGCGCCAGGAGGGGGCGCCAGCTCCGCAGTTAGCCTCGCGCCGGGGATGGGATGTCCGCTCGGGGGCCCTGGACCAGGAATCCCTGTGGCGGTCAGCCCCCGGGCTTTCCTTTATGGGCGCGTCTCCAGGTGACACTTAGAACCGCCTCGCTGGGCTCGGGTGTTCTGTACCCGGAGAAGCGGCGCTGCTGTCTTCCCGGCCGCCTGACACGGCTTCAGGTTCGCCAAAACGTTTTCTGGGCAGGGTTTTTAGGATAGGCCCGAAGAGGTGGGTTCCGATGGGGAATTAAAAACCAGACTTCCTACTGGAGTCAGAAGGAAGTAGCGGCAATCGCTTGAGGTTCAAACTAACTGATGTGGGGAGCAGTCAGCCTCGGCTGGGGCCCAGGGAATAACGGGTGATTAGGAGATAAACCTTGACAAATTAGTGAAACGTTAGTCTGAAGAGGCGGAGAAAGCTATTCTAAGCTAAGAGACAGCATATACAGTGAGCAACCCCGGAAGAAATAAAATTTGAGAAAGAGCAACAACAAAAACAAGGAACACGGAAGGCAGAAAAGGACAAAGATAGTTCTAGGATTGGGACAGATCTAGGTTTTTACTGATAATTAATGGAACTTCTATGGTATTTACTAATTCTTACCTTGTATAATTATGTGCATGCCTAATTCCCTACGAGAAACCCTTATCACTCAGGATGTGTGAACCCAGCCCAGCAACATTGGCATCACCTGGGCACTTGTTACAGGTGTAGAATCTGAGGCCTTAACTACACAATCAGAATCTGCCTTTTAACAAGAGCCTCAGGGGAATGTGTATACATACTGGAGTGTAAGAAGCACTGCTTTGACAGCTGGCAGAGAGCAAATCTGGATGATTCCTCTTCATATTCTGCATGCACCTTGTACAGAGTAAGCTTTTAATACACATTTACCCAACATATTCTGCATGCACCTTGTACAGAGTAAGCTTTTAATACACATTTACCCAATGAGGGATACATGAATACGGAATCCGAAGCAGGCTCCAGGCTCTGAGCTGTCAGCAGAGCGGGACTGGGGACTGGAACTCACAAACTGCAAGATCATGATCAGAGTTGAGGTTAGAGGCTTAATGGGCTGAGCCACCCAGGTGCCCCAAGACCACCCTTTCTGAATGAGTAGTTCTGTTTGTTGAAAAGTTTATTTTATTTTTAAATTTTTTTTCAACGTTTATTTATTTTTGGGACAGAGAGAGACAGAGCATGAACGGGGGAGGGGCAGAGAGAGAGGGAGACACAGAATCGGAAACAGGCTCCAGGCTCTGAGCCATCAGCCCAGAGCCTGACGCAGGGCTTGAACTCACGGACAGCGAGATCGTGACCTGGCTGAAGTCGGACGCTTAACCGACTGCGCCACCCAGGCGCCCCGAAAAGTTTATTTTAAATTGAAAACCCATCCACTTAAGTTCAACAAATCCACTTATCTTCCTTTTGTCTTTCCTCTGCCTCTAATGAACTCAGTTATTCTCTGGCTTTTAACCAAAGACAGTTTGCAGAAAAAAAGGTACATTTTTACGGCAACCTTTTGCTCATCCCTCCAAAATCTTGACTTCCTGGCTGTCTCCTCTTTGGTCCCTACCGTTTCCCTCCCTGCCAGTTCATTTTATTCTTTCCATGGGATGTGAAGCAAGGCCCTTGAAGGAGTAATACATTCAACCTTAACTTGTGCACTATTCAGCTCTCTAACCCCAGTGTGGTTTCTCTATGCCAAATAATATGTCCCTGGTGTGTATTACTTTACAACAGTCAAATCAGCATAGAAGAAGGAAACCAAGTGTTATACTGGACAAGCGAAACTTATTAAGAAATAAACTTGTAAAACTAAATAGAAGTGATTTTGGGGTTTTCTCCTTTGGGGAATTAGTCCATGACACTGTTCTGCTCTAGTAGCATTTATAAATCAGGTGATAGTTAACATTAAGTCAACTCTGCATATTGCATATTTAGAAACAGGATGGAAGTAATTGACACCATAGGAAGGATTAACTGCTTCTTTCTAGTCCCAAGTTTGTTTTCGTAGACTCGTGAATGACTAGGTAAAGAAACAAGATCTCTTAACCAATACGAGTATAATTTCTCCATTTAATTTTATTGTTGGTGTCCCGATGTTCTCTCTTTCTTTACAGAGGGAAGGAAAAGGAGGTAATAGGTAAAGTAGTTGGTGGGGGTTTGCTGGATGTTACTGTGTCTCAGACGTCATTGCCACTGATCTCTTCAGATCAGCCATTCTGCCTGATAAACAGAGGAAAATAACAGCCTGGGACACCTCATAGCACAGTAAACTTTTATGTGCACTGCTAAAGGTGTCCTTCCTCTGAGAGGTGAGGACTTGGGAATGGCAGAAGAGTGTACTGATTTTACAGAACTTGATGGCAGGTTAGATGGAGCATCTGGAGGTTTATATCCCCATCTCCCCTCCCATTTGTGATCAGGGAGGGGTAGGACATGTCATCTTGGTGATTTCCATTTCAAAAAACAGCCTGATGTTTAAAAAAAATGTTTAATGTTTATTTTTTTTGAGAGAGAGATAGAGCACAAGCAGGGGAGGGGCAGAGAGAGAGGGAGACACAGAATCTGAAGCAGGCTCCAGTCTCTGAGCTGTCAGCACAGAGCCTGATGTGGGGCTCGAACCCACAAACCATGAGATCATGACCTGAGCTGAAGTCTGGCACTTAACCGACTGAGCCACCCAGGCGCCCCAACAGCCTGATTGATAGTTTTTATAAAGTTAAACATTCACTTAACATGTAGTTTAGTAATCCTACTCCTAAGTATTTATCCAGGTGAAATAAAGATAAGTTCACACAAAAGCCTGTATACAAATGTTTATTTGTACAATTATATGTTGCTTTATGCTATTTACCCCCAAATGGAAACAACACAAATGTCCTTCACCTGGTGAGTCAATAAACAAAATGTGGCAGAACTGTAAATGGAAAACTACTCAGCAATAAAAAGGATTAAACTCCATACTCACATGGATGAATTGCACATGTGTTATGGGGTGTGAAAGAAGCCAGACTCCATTTACATGACATTCTGGAAAAAGCAGAGGATCAGAAACAGAACCCTGCCTTCTAGGAGTTGAAGATGGGAGAAGGGGTTGAGTACAAAGGAGCACAAAGGAATTTTAGGGGATAGAGAACAGTTCTAAATCCTGATTGTAGTGGTTGTGTGCATCTGCCAAAGCACAGTATGGTACACTTAAAAGGGTGAGTGTTATGATATGAAAATTATACCACAATAAAAAATAAAAAAGTTTTTAAGTGTTTATTTTGGAGAGAGAGAGAGAGCAAGCTGGGAAGGGGCAGAGAGAAAGGACGACAGAGGATCCGAAGCTGGCTCCCTGCTGATACAGCCTGATGTGGGGCTCCAACTCAGAAACCTTAAGATCATGACCTGAGCCGAAGTTGGATGCTTAACCGACTGAGCCACCCAGGCGCCCCCAAAAACAAAAATTTAATACTATTGTAAAAATCGGCTTTAGCAAGAGGAAAGATACAAGTTTACACACATAAGAGAATACTCAATCATTGTGGAAACCAATTATTTTTAAAAACAAATACCATTGGTTTTATTTAAAAAAATTTTCCAGCTTTATTGAGGTATAATTGACAAGATTATATATATTTAAAGTGTCCAACATAATGACTTGGTATATATAAACACCGTGGAATGATTGTCACAATCAAGTTAATTAACACACCCATTGATCCACAGTTAACTTTGTGTGTATGTGGTGATACTGCTTAGGATTTACAATTTTAGCAAATTTCCTAATAGTTATTATTTACTGTAGACACCATGCTGTGCATTAGATATTCTTACTCATAACTGAAAGTTTATACCCTTATAGCAACATCTCACCCTTTTTTCCACCAATTAGTCCCTGGCAACTACTATTCTATCCCTGTTTCCCTGAGTTTGACTTTTTTGTTTTTGTTTTTTTTTTTAGATTCTGTGTAGAAGTGAGATCGTGTGGTATTCGTCTTTCTCTGTTTGACTTATTTCCTTTCTCTGTCTGACATTTCACTTAGCATAATGCCCTTAAGGTCTATCCATGATGTTGTAAATGGCAAGAGTTTCTTTTTTCTCATGGCTGAATAATTTTCCACTTTATATAACACATTTTTTTTATCCCTTCATCCGTGGACACTTAGGTTGCTTCTGTATCTTGGCAATTGTAAATAACGCTGCAACAAATATGGGAGTGCAGGTACCTATTTGAGATCCTGGTTTCATTTCCTTTGGATATATACCCAGAAGTGGGATTGCTGGATCATATTGATGAGGGAGCCAAAAGCAATCTGAGGGCAAAGCACGAGCTAACACCCACAACCCCACCTGCCCACCTCCCTACTCCTGTGGTAGGACATGTGTGACATTCCTCAGGCACTCCTGGCTGCCCAAGAACAAAGGAAAGAAAACAAATGGTTAACTGATAGAGATCACAGTCA